AACGTAAACTAGACTGAAGCACCGTTGCCGACGATTTCAATTATTACCGAACTTGAAAGGTCGCTTCTATTGTGCCACCGTTCGATCAGTTCTTGTTTGTGGTTGTGAAACCTTGAACCTGCGAGTAGATGATATACAAAGCTTTTCGACACGTACGTTATATGAAGTGATCGTTTGGAAATTTGTCGAGGGAAAATTCGCTATCGCATTGAAATCAGATCATTAGGCTTCACTGGTTAGTACGGGTTGTACATGCCCAACGGTTGCCTACTGCACCGCACCTTACTTGCCATTTCCACTTCGAGTTGGTTAAAATCACATGGAGGTCAACAGGTGATGTGTAGAATAGACATGAATAATGGTCCAAAGTGATTAGGTTAAGTATGTATGCCCACCTAATGAACGTGAACAAGATAGTTTCACTTTCGTTTCCGCTTTCGAAATTGGTCCGTTTCCTGTTCACTGTTCCCATTTTGATTTACCCGGTATGTGCTTGCCAGAGATCAATGAATTGTTATTGAATTATGTTTTCCATACTTGACCAAGCCCTTAAATCACATTTCTTACTTTGTTCTCAAACCTTCCCCCCACCTCCCTTGTCCTGCTTCTGCAACTGTTCATCTTGTTTAACAAAGGCAACGCAAGCGATCTGCGTTTGGTCCGTGTCTACTTACAGTTAGCGCTACCGGATTGTCATCTCGAATTCCTAATGTCCGAAGGTAATCAACACGACACGTTTGCCGGATTTGAGGCAATGCGTGACAACCTGGTGGAGGAAATCATTGCTTTCATTGACGAGTTAGGCGAGCCACCTGCTCGTATCAGGTCAGTCTGCCCTTAGTTCGAATTACCTTTGAGCACAAATTGTTTTTTTTTTCTCGCTTTTGCTTCATTGCCAGCAGCGAGTTTGTATTTTTGCAATTGCCATCTGAAACCATCATAACGTGTGTAAATCTAATTCAGCATCAGATCACATCTTCACCGTGTTACACTACGAGAAACAATTGATTAGGCTAATACTAGAGGTGCATCTTTTATGACAGTGGTAAATGGTACTCGGGGAGGGGGTGCAATTTTTACCACACAAGATTCTTCGATGAATTAATGAAGCCTTTCCCATAAGAAGACGTCATCTGGGAGTGAGAATAAGTCTGTTATTCATCGTCGTTCTTGTCGCTGCATTTTTGTCACAAATCGAAATGAGATGGTGTCATTTTCGTTCACTTACACTATTGTACTTGAATTATTGTTGCACACGTCACATGGCATCTTCACTTGATCAAGTGGCACAATGGTCGTATCAAAATTTCGTTCTTACGCGTTACGATTCTCTCCCAGGAGTGTTGCTTCCAATGTAACTATTCGCGCACATACCATACCAATTCCATAAATGCAGTAAGATTTAAAGAACAATCTTCTTCTCAACGCTGCTCGAGCCTCTGGCAGAATGCTTACCGAATCTAGTCCCCTTATGAATTGAAGTATGCAACCTGACTCGACTTTCGATCAGCCCATCTGTTCTAGGTCAGATCATTTTCACCCGGAATATTTATACAATTATTGTTCTCTGACGAGGATCGTAAATTTTACAAACTACCGAAAAGCGATCAGAGTTGCAACCACTGATGATCTGGTGTGTTCGGAACTATCTTCATCTTCTTCGTGAAAGATCATTCTGCTCTTGTCTGCCCTATACTAACAGGTCTTTGCCATTGTGTGGTTTACCACGTCTGCTGTTGACCACACAAGTGTATGTAATAAAAAACGTGTTTGCCCTTCTAGATTCTCCATCTCAGTGATTTATCGTGACTATGGGATTCGTATTTGGACAGATATGAATAAAATGTCGTTTTAATTGGTCACAGAAATTGCATAGACGCTTTTTAAACGGAATCCTGAAATGCTCTAATTTTGACTAGCTTTACTCACTCTCAGACCAGTATTGTCGTAATTATATTTGTTGTTGTTGTTGTTGAATGTTGGTAACTTCTGTAAACAGCATTCACTGATTGTGCAACAACGTTAAAAACAATTAAAATCGATTTGATGTAAGACAAGAGCAGTGGAACAAAACGTGTTTTGCGCATTCCTTTGATCGCTTGGTGTTTTTGTCTCTATTGGATTACAAATATATACATAAATTTATCCCAGTAGAACCTGTGTGGTTACTTGCACACTCAGAAAGATCGGTGCGTCACGGGTTAGCCGGGTCCTCGAACAAACTTCTCACAAGCAGCAACTAACACATCAAGAAGAATGGCGGATACACCACTGACTATCGCCAATTCACGACGCCCGGGGTTTTTTCAGTAATCCAGAATATTTTTGACGACAAAATGTGCGATAATACGCATCGGTAAACAAAAACGCACCGATTATCAAACATGACACTGTGATTCTGAAAAGACAAAGAGCACATTTTGCCTACGCAACATTCTGATTGAGTGGTCTGTCAGAAGGGATCCGCTAGTGTAGCACTAAATAATTTTTTTATACTTCGAGCGGGACAGCGAGATAGAATCCAGCACATCCGGATCATGCGGAAACTCAGGGCCGTGATAGAGAGAGAAGATGCATTTGGAGGAGTCCAACGACAGTACCTGTCTTAATTAAATGACATGAGTTTGAACAAGATTGTCGTCAAACGTATCATTTTGGGGGAGTATGATACTTGGATGTAAAGCATCATCGTCGGCATTCTCAGGGAAAGAAAACTCACACTAGCAAGGAAAACCATGTGTTTCTTGTGAATAGGAGTGCAAGAACGACATCATTCAGAGTCCTTTGTGGGAAACTGTTTTAGCGAAAAAAACGGTCAAACAGCTACATTTGAATTTTGAGTGCAGTCCATTGATTCTGGCTTTCAAAAAAGAATCGACTCGTTACTTTACTTGACACTTGTTGGAGTCCGGACTGTGTGCCAAACAAATCACGGCACATAAGCCTCTATAAAAAAATAATGCGGTACATGATTTTCTCATGGTAGGGATGTTATCAGAATTTTCAAGCCAAAGCAGGCGGTATTTCTTGGGGGATTCACAGCCGGCTAGAAGAGTGGTGCGTCAGTCCGCGGTCCCTTTAGGGTCGATATCCAGTTCATGGTTCTAGGTACCCCATCGTGCCAGTGACCACTGTCAAAACCATTAAGGTAGGTTCGCACGCCTTTTCCTCGATCGTTTCAAATCAGATTACTTTGCCAACTCCAGAAGTGAATTGCCGGTGGTTCATCTACCGGGTTACAACCCCAGATGTCTTTTCTTCTTCACACTTTAGTAGGAAAACATCTCCGCCGCATGAAGGCAGTAAGTAGGGCTTCTTCGTCTGATGCTATTTAAGTCCTTTGTAACATTTTGCTGGGTGCAAGGTAAGGTTGACCAGTCAAAACTCAAGACACCTTAAACATACGGTGGCTTTCAACAACGATGTTACCAGATGATAGAATCAAATGCTAAAGATTAAGCCAACGTTGATGGTGGCGCAGTGGTTTAGTCGCTGTCATCGGCGTGCTTTGGACCCTGTGGTCCGTGGTTCTACTGTTCATCACACACTGGTGTGTAATAAAAAATATGAAAACTAACAGCCATCTTCCGGGCTGTTCAGACCGATACTAGCTTCCTCTATATATCCCATCTTTTGGCTCGGTAAAAAATAATCCGTTTTTTAGATCCGCATTTAAATGCTTCCATGTTTAGAGCCTCACTAATGTATTTTCAAGTCTGGTGTGAAGACTTTGTTTGATATGGCTTCCATTTTTTCTCACCGTGCTTGCATTCCTCTACTTTTTTCTTTAACTTTCCACAGCTTTATCGCCCACAGTATGGGCTGTGTATTGGTCCGGGCGGCCATTTGCAGTCCCGTTTTCGAACCCTATCTACCCAAATTGCACACATTCCTCTCACTAAGTGGACCTCATTTGGGCACGGTGTACAACTCATCCGGACTTGTCAATATGGGTATGTGGGTGATGCAGAAGTGGAAAAAGTCGGAAAGTTTGTCCCAGTTGCGTCTGCGTGACGATGCAGACCTGCGTAACACATACATGTACCAGTTGAGCGCAAGCGCCGGGCTTGATTTGTTCCGTTATGTGCTCTTGGTCAGCAGTCCACAAGACCGATACGTCCCTTATCATTCCACACGAATTGAACTGTGCAAAGCTGCTGTTCGAGATAGTTCCACTCTGGGTGAGTTTCGTCTTCTTCCGCTCAGCAATTGGTTCGTATTTAATCGTGTTTATTTCGTCAGTCACCTTTCGCTCCCTCTCAAAACCGCTGAAATCTTGCGAGGCTTTTGATGTACTTGCTGACAGAAAGCATTTTTTGAAGCACATGTTTGCAATATTCATGTGGTTTACCCTCCAGTTCCTTTCTTTACTGAGAGTGCTTGTAAATTGGTTGTTTAGTATTCGCTAAAATTAAATCTACATCGCATTTGTGCATCACCAGTTCCATAATATTCATGTCTGACAAGGCAAACGGTTTTGTTGCATCGGCTTATAAAAATACACTGTAATCCCTGTCATTTTATGGTTTATCACAACGAAGACTGGTGCAATAGCACCATTTCAATACCGCAACGATGAACTGCAAATGCTATAGATCGTAACATCATTATCCATTTTTCGCGGGTTCCGCGTTTCAGCAGAATGAAGGAGAGACGCTTGTCGTTTTAGTTTGAAACCAATTCAGATCCCCTTGTTATAATTTGGATGTTGTTATATCCAACCTTCAAGGCCCATACTGCTCTTACTGGACCAAAAGCCGTCTCGGATACAGCTTCGGAAAACACCCCGACTTAAATGCGTTGTCCATCAAAATGCATTACAGGTGTTTTGTGGTCTTGGAGTATCTGGAATGGATTATATTCCACCTGTTGTGAGGTACTACTCACATTTGTGAGCATTATGCAAAATAATACGGTTATCGGTTTCCTTCGACTATCAAAAATTAACAAGACCACTGCGGGCGAATTGTTGTGCCTCAAAGATGAACTACGGACCGCTCCATTCATTACCTGATGTACTGCCGGGAATCGAGATGACATGTTTCAAATGAAATATCTGTTGTACGTATGCCAAATTAGTGACCTTCCAACTGTAGTTTGCGATTATTAACTTTCTTCGACCGGGCACCGCCTTGTGGAATTATAGCACACCGAGTTGCACTGCTCTCATAGTTTAGTCGCATTTTGAATAATGTTTGTGTATACTTATCTCTCAAATCTTTTGACCTAATCAGATGCACCATGGCCTAGGTGATCACTACATCAAGAATTACCCTTGCGATGTTCTCCTTGTCCAAGTTAGATCGAAAATGTTAAGTGTGCTCGCAGTTTCACGCGAAATGTACCATGATTTGCGTCCACTTTGTGCACAGTGTAGTTTATCGATCGCGTCCTCGAACGTCTACAAAGTGCTTCAGTTGTGAGCTGGACACGTCAAAATGGTCTATTTCTATGAGTAATGTGTGTCTCCTCCATGCGAACTTTGTGCGTCCTGTATGTAGGGAAGTGTTTGCTGATAATCGAATCTAGGCCTTAGGCGCGTGCGTGCACACACGTACGCACCTGGTAGACTAGCGTCACACGGTGTGGTTTGTGCTACCTTATTCCATTCCAGGATGATGTGAATGTCTTTTTCACATCCCTGGGACACGCCTAATATTTGTGGCTATCTATGAGAAAACTCACGTATACATTGACCACACTGATGTCGTCAGATTACTTGTCTGATTCACATTTCTTCTTGAAAAGATTAGCTGGAATTCTGATTTCAATCGCTTGATCATAAGCTCACAAATCTGTGCTCCTGGCTCGTGTGTGTGTGTGTGTCAATCGCCCACATTGTGAAGTATCGATTGGAAATTCCTATCTCCTCATCCTCCTTTTCTGATAATCTAGTTAATGCCCGACTGTTCACATGGTTACCATAAACAAAACTTGTTCAGTGTGCCGTGTTGCGTTACTCCGGAAGCATCCATACTGCTAGATTAAAAGATCCTATCTCGGAACCTGAATACTCTCTCTATCTCTCTACATGTGACCCCGTCTTTTGACTAGAGTTAATTACTAAAGTCTGTTTTACGAGTAAATTGTCCTACAAATTGTTCCGTTCTATGCCATTCCATAAACTGTTGTCTAAATGTGCTTTCCTGCTCCACCTGTTCATTTTACGAGTTAATGTACTTTTCCCTTAGTAGACCAGCATTGGTTTGTTGTGTACTTGTTCACTTTGCGTGGCACCAGTTTATCAAAATCTACTCAAATTTTTTGACAAATTCAGTATGAAACTAAATAATGATGGAATTTCAGACGGATAATCGTCTTCAATCATTACCCAACACAGTTAAGTCAGAATTACATCTAATCAATGACTGACTGACATGAAACAGCTGAATTATCCATCCGTTATCCAAGTAAAACACGCAGTTTACAAATACACGCACGCAGTAGTGGCATTTTCAAATTAGTCGACAGTCTTGTTGAAAACCGGTCGGCACACCAAATGTGCGCATGACTGATGGGTTTGTCAACAGTACTTTCACAGGGATTATGACATACATCCAATCTGAAAAAAATACACTTTTCACCATTCCGTCATGTCTGTCTGCACACATGAGTTTCACTAAAATCGCCGGAACCGGTTTTTTTTACCGGCTAGTCACTCAACTCGTGTGTCTCTGTCGTTGTCGCACGATATTACACATCCAATTAGATGCAGGCTTTATCACTTACTTTCAAGTGTATCAGGATGCAACAAGTGGTAATAGATTATTTCTCCACTGAATGAAGAGAGAGAGAGCCGTCCCGTGTACACGGAATTCTGAACTGTAAATCCCCCTCCCCAGTAAAAAATAAATAGAGTGGTATCGTAACTCGGAGCTAAAGACGAGCATCATCCGCATCAGCTTATTGTGAAATCCCATGAAGTGAACTTCGCTGCATGCTGTCAATCTCACCTGGTGTACAGAGTAAATACTCGTCTAGGCTCGACTCGCGAGTATGTCACACGATTAGATTAGTGGGTTTCGATGAGACAAGAGAAAATATATTCTATTCTCATTGACAAACAAATTGTGCTCATTTCTGCAAGCATTTGGGCCTGATAAGGTTAATACTGCTTTCGGTTAACTGCCGTACCATTCAGTACCTGCAACCAATCGGTTAGAGATTCTTTTTCACCCCAAGCCGAAAAAATGACGTGTTATCTGCCCTACGTAATTCGTCTACAGTAACATCTGGGGGCGTAATGAGTTGGATATCTCCACACAGCAGACAAAGGTCTATATAATGATATACCACCTGTTGCATGACGAATAATCATGGTGAAGTGTATTTGGTGTCCATGACTATCTTCAAGGCCTTCGATCGATTGGGACACAGAAGTTCGGTGGTGAAACTGCTTGCTTCAGATTTATCCTCTGCGCTTAAATTGTGAATTTGCTGTTGTCTCAAAAACCACTCCATTGCGATCCGGGTTGATGGTANGCGATCCGGGTTGATGGTAATCGACATGCGTCTGTTTGTTTTTCCTGTAATTCCCTTTCTTGCCTCGCTCTCCCACGTTATTCTTTCTAATTATCAATCAGTTCTCTTTACTTATAAACCAACCCGTTCTTTGCTTATGACACCGCTGTTTACTGCTTATACGGTCTATCTTTTTGCGTTTTAACAAACAACATTGACCGCCGACGATTCACTAGACGTATTCACTGAAGTGAGCTACGATCTTTACTGCATAGCATCCTGAGTCTGGTCTGAGCGTGTGTCAGCCAGCAACTCCGTAATTAGTCATGTCTATCTCTCTGAAAGGTGATGTTTGCTACCTTTCTCTCTTTTGAAATCAAGGAAGTTCCATTCCTTGTGTTGTTAACTTTGTTTCTTCGTCTCTCCCCCCCCCCCGCCCCC